ATCTGCAGTCACTGGTTAATAGTTGGTAATTGTTTCTGTAGGATGTACAGTCAAAAGTCAGCGATGTTGTTTTGGGAAAAGAAAAGCCAGTGGAAGAGTCTACTCCTGAATATGAGAAGCTTAAACATTACATATTTGAGCTAGAAAATCATCTAGCAGAGGCCCAGAAACAAGCATTTCGCCTTGTAAAAAGGCACAGAGGTAAATATCTTGATCCTAAAAATACTTTCTTGAGTTCAGCCCCGATGTAAAATAGCAGTAAAATGTTATGGTTGTTAAAATTTTGGTCTTCCAAAAAGATAGAAATAGATGACCTGGTACATGGCATCATAATGAGCACAAGGCTGCAGTTCGGAGGCCATTAACAATATCTCAACTTGCTCTTGGTTATGAGTGTTTAACTGGATTGCAAGACCAATTACACCATTCTGATTTTCTTTCATTAGAACTTGGGCAATCTTTGGCGGACTTTGGGAAAGCGATTAAGCTTTTAGGCGCCTGCGAAGGGGATTCGTTGGAGAAGGTGTTTTCTGAAGTTGGTTCGAAGTCAGAAATGTTGTCAATAAAGCTGCAAAGAGAGGTAATCAATAACCTGTTAGGATAGTACCACTTCATTATAAATACCATATGGCCATTCATTTTGTAGTTAGTACTATTACCTAATGCTGGAAGGGGAGCCTTGGCGCAGTGGTAAAGCTGCTGCCTTGTGACCATGAGGTCATGGGTTCAAGTCCTGGAAACAGCCTCTTACAGAAATGTAGGGAAAGGCTGCGTACTATAGACCCAAAGTGGTCGGACCCTTCCCTGGACCCTGCGCAAGCGGGAGCTACATGCACCAGGTTGCCCTTTTTTTTTTTTACTTCTATTACCTAATGCTGTTGATATGCTGTTACTACAGGCAGACAACCTTCTCTTTAATTTTGAAGAACCTTTGAAAGATTATGTGCGTGCTGTGCAGTCAATAAAGGTGAGTTACTTTCTCTTCCATCTATTAACTGCAAATAGAGAATTTATGCTTGTAGTAAGTTGAAGTCATGACTAATTTTCTCATGGTCATGGCAGGCCACTATGCTTGATCGAGCCAATGCTTTTAGGCAGCACTTTGACTTGGACCAGGAGAGGAAGTATAAAGAGCTTAACCTGTATGTATCGCATATTGCAAGTTCCATATTTCGTGCTCAGTGACATGGTGTAATAATTTAGGGAAAATATCCTAAGGGAGTTCTTTCACCTTTCAAGATATAATAACCAATCAAAACTGGGCCTACCAATTTAAAAATTCCAGAGTTAAATAATAAAATATCTAATCTCTTAGCACAACACAGGGTGTAAGGTCCTTGTAGTGTCGATCCTATTCCTACTTCAGTGAAAAAAATGAAGTTCATGAACCCTGAGAAGTTTATTATGTACTATTACCTACAAATTTTCTCATTCTATTCTTACTGCAGTGAAAAAATGAAGTTCATGAATCCTGAGAAGTTTTCCGAGTCGGAAACTGAGTTCAGTGAGGTAAGTATTCATTTTAAGGAGCTATGTCGAGCGAGCAGAAATTGTGAATTACTAATTTGTTTGACCGGCGTTTTGTTGTGAATAAATGCAGTTGAAAGCAGCCAGTGAGGAGGCTACGGAGAGGTACGAGCACATAGTTAGTGTGATGAATGACGAGCTTGCACGATTCCAGGAGCAGAAAACAGCTGATATTGGACTTGCGTTCCATGAGTTTGCCAAAGGGCAAGCAAAGTTAGCTAAAGATATTGCTGATGCATGGCGCAGCGTCCTCCCAAAGCTAGAGGCGTGTTCCAGTTCATAATCAAAACTGTGTTTGCCCGTCTGTGTTTGAGATAGTGGTTGGCCCTTTGAGTTTTAGGCTGATTTTTTCCAGCCCAATTTGACAGTGGTTCATGTATACTTAAAAGTGACGGTTGACAATGCTCCAGTTGTTATATTGACATATTTTCTTTACCGTGTGCGTGTGTACTCTGTAACTCAAAATTTCAACCAATTAGTCTAACTGTTGAAGTCCTTCAGGAAATATTATGAATAAAGAGAAGACAGTGGAGTTGTTTAGCTTTACTTCCTCTAATGGAATTTATATCTTCATCTTGGAAGAGAACATGAAAGGAGACCTTTGAAAACTAGGGATTACAAAGTTGTATCAACAGAGAATGAAACTCCTGCTGCATCATGTTCCTTCTTCACTGGCAGACTTGCACAATTTAACAGACTTGTCAAATGTGCGCAATCTGAACAGGCTTGTCAAACTTGCGCAATCTGAATGGACTTCTGAAGCGCCATGAGGAGGCTCCTCATGATCCTGGGCTCCCCAGGCGGCTCCATGTCCTTCATAGCACCGTTCCTGATTGCTCGGAACACAAACCCAGAGCCATCGGTCGCCGGAGACACCAAGCAGTCGATGTAGGCCAGCAGCGAGGTCGCGCCGTCGTCGATCCCAATGAACCCTAGCCTGATCCCACCCTCCACCTTGTCCACCTGTTTGCACATGGAAAGTTGAAGTATCAGCTGAAGAAATCTGAAGTATCAATTGAAAGTTTGAAACCACATCGTCAGTTCTCGGGTTGCCATACCTTGATAGGCACTGGCAGTGGCAACATGGCGCCTTGGCAGAGACTGTTCCCCCACTGCCAAACAAACAGGTTCAACACAAACATCAGTTCTAATTGGGTGTATTGAATTCTAAGCTGAGAGAGAGAGAGAGAGAGAGAAGAGCAGACATCATACTCCAACACGGCTCAAAGAATGCTTAGTACTGTACTGACCTGAAAGAGCAACCCCTCGAACCGAGCGACGTCGATGTTGGCGGGCAGCTTCACGGTGCCGAGGCTGACCCCGTCGTCGTCGGCCGGCACAATGCCGCCCTTCCCCGGCACGGCGTGCGGCGGCTTCACGGACACCCTCGCTCTGAAACTGGGGAGCTTCTCGGCCTTGTTGAAGCACATGGAGCTGTAAGCAGAGCGGCCATGGCTGCTGGAACTGTGCTTGGGAAGCGTCCCTGAGGAGCAGGAGGAAGTGATCCTGTGGACCAACAGCTGCCTTGCAGTCGCAGCTGCCATGTTCTTTTCTTTCTGGGGTGGAAGGCAGGATGGAGGTTCAGGCTTGAGAGAGTGCAATACCAGGGCCGGTTAATGAGTGCTCCCGATTAACCTGCGGGGATGAGAAATGAATGGACAAGCTGGTACCGCCTAGACAGTTTTTTGGTTGGTCGGGGCGTCTTCTTGTCTCTTGGCTCAGTGTAGCAACTAGCGACCGCGTATCCTCTAAAATTTATTAAGATACAGAGTCCGAGCATCTATAGCCCGACGCCTCAAACCCGTCTTGTATGACTGGACGGACCGCTCAGTCACTATCCGGTCACAAATTTTTGACCCAGACAAACGTCTTAAGTGGGCCTCAAACGCTCGGATTGATCGGCACTCCTCATATTCAGCCCAAATACGGTTGCGCTCGGACCTGGCCCACTATGGACCACCGACCTCACGTATATTTCTTCCCATCTGCTCGCCGGACCGAACCATAACCACTTCACTCACTCCTCTCCGGCACCCAAACTCGTCCCCGGCGCCGTCCGGCAGTCTCTGGTATGGCGGGCAATGGATCTGAGTCCTTCACCTCAAGATCCGTTGACCCTGAGCTCATCCCACGCGGCCCTGAAGAGCTGAAGAGGAGATGGTTGTCTGGCTTGCACTCCGCCACTCTCGAGGAAGCCCGTGCACGGCAGCGCTCGGACTCCTTTCTCAAAAATCCATTGCGTCCGCCCAAATGGCGCATGGATCCAGCGCTAGGGCAGCCGTCGCTGCCTCACCGGAGGCGATGCGGCCCGTCTGGCATCCGAACGAGGTGGACGGGCGAGCAACCCCTTCTCTGGTGCGCCGATGCCATGGACACATCGTGGGCGTCGTCCGACGCAATCATGGCGTGACAGCGGGAGCGGGGGCGGCAGCGCTTGCCGCGGTGGACGTCGGCGAGGCGGAGTCACATTCTCTGGCTCCCCGTACGGTGCACCAGTCCGGGCGCCGCAACCGCGTCGTGGTGGACGTCGCTGGCTCGTCCCAGGACGGATCCATCATCGATCTGACGTTCACCGGCACCCAATGGGTTACGGGCTCCGACGAGGAAGAGTAGGCATGGTAGACGGCGGCGCTTGAGTCCCGTGAGCTGGCTCGTATCCCATGCCCTACTCTACCTTGCCGGCGACCGGGCAAACACTCTAGGGAGCGCAATCGGCCGTCGAACATGGGCACGACGAGCGGACGAGCTCCGTTTAAAGATCGCTACCTTGCATGTAATAATATGGATTTGATGTTTCTAATTTGAGGTATCCAGATGTGGATTGCATTATTTGAGGCATGACCGATCAGTGTCCGTGGATGCCCTGAGCGCGTCCGCGGGCGTTTGAGGGGCCAGATTTGCAAAGTACGGCTATAGATGCTCTTATAGACTGGTCACAATAAAAATATCATAATTAGTATCATGCATGCCAACTAGACATTTTTGTTGAGGTAACACATAACTAAATGAGGAGAGATGAGATTGAGTACCATGATATGGTAATTAAGTGATGTACTTGTATACGTCATGCATGACAATAAATGATGTCGATACTTCTCATTGCGACTAGCCTTAGATATGTGGGCGTGTGTGTTACTTTTTATTTTTAAGGGATCAAGGGTGTGTGTTGTTTACTTAAAAAAAGGGTTTGTGTTGTTGGGCCCCCCATTTTTCTCGATTTTGAAAAGTATTCCCTGGTTTTTTATTTTGTTTTCCAACCGTTTTAATAGTTTTTGTTGTTTTTGCCAGTTTGTTTTCTACTCTATTGTTTCCATTTTTTCTTCACAAGCTAATTCATGAATCCCTACGGGAGGTGAATGATGGTCCGCCATCTAGCTAATAATAGTTTTAACATTGTGTTCATTAAATCGCCATCACCCCCTCAATTTTTTTTAAGTCACCATGAGAAAAATACTTGGCTCTCAAAATGGTAGCACATAAAGAGTCGGGATTCTCAAGAAGACGCGAGGCCTGCTTAGGCAACATCCTCAGATTCTTTGAGACACACATTTTTTATCAAGCCATCCAATGCATAGGTGGGAATATGTCCACATCTCTACCAAATATGTGACATCACATCAATAATTGATTTGCAAATTTTTAGGAATTTTAAATACAAACATTGCATAGGTGGGAATGACTTGAACAACAGACTTGAGGAAAATCTATTTTTTTCCTCCAACGGATAACAATTTTTCCTTCCAACCACTAATTTTATTTATAATATGATCAATCAAATACATAAAACAACCCGATTTATCCATTCCTACATAGACACACAAGCCTAAATATTTATCATTTAGGGCCTCAGTCATGACATTCAGAGTTACACACATCTGCTCTCTCAACTCGGCACTCGTATTAGGACTGAAGAATATGCTGGATTTATCAACACTGACCAATTGCCTGAAGCGGCACAATAGAAATAATGGTAAGTCATTCCCGCACTTGCCAAAATATTCGAGTTCCAAATAACTGATGACCCACAAGTATATGTGGTCAATTGTAGCCTTTTCGATAAGTAAGAGTGTCGAACCCAACGAGGAGCAGAAGGAAATGACAAGTGGTTTTCAGCAAGGTATTGTCTGCAAGTGCTAAAATTGTAAGTAGCAGAGTAGTTTGATAGTGTAACGAGCAAGTAACGATAGTAGTAACAAAAATGCAGCAAGGTAGCCCAATCCTTTCAAGGCAAATGACATGCCAAAATGGTTTCTTATGATAAGCAAGGTGTTCTTGAGGGTACACGAGAATTTCATCTAGTCACTTTCATCATGTTGGCGTAATTCGTGTTCGGTACTTTGATAATTTGATATGTGGGTGGACCGGTGCTTAGGTGCTATTCTTACTTGAACAAACCTCCTACTTATGATTAACCCCCTCACAAGCATCTGCAACTACGAGAAAAATATTAAGAATAAATTCTAACCATATCATTAGACTTTTGGATCCGATCGGTCCCTTATGGAATAGCGCATAAACTGGGTTTAAGCTTCTGTCACTCTCGCAACCCACCATCTAATAACTACTCCCTCTGTCCCATAATGTAAGACGTTTTTTGACATTAGTGTAGTATCAAAAAACGTCTTACATTATGGGACGGAGGGAGTACTCCACAATGCATTCCCTTAGGCCCAAATATGGTGAAGTGTCATGTAGTTGACATTCACATGACACCACTAAGAGAATGACAACATACATATCATCAAAATATCAAACACATATCAAGTTCACATGATTACTTGCAACATGATTTCTCCCGTGACCTCAAGAACGAAAGTAACTAATCACAAATGATAAACATGCTCAATATCAGAGGGGTATTTCTGAACATATAATCTACCACCAAATAAATCTTATAGTAATCAACTACAAGATGTAATCAACACTACTAGTCACCTGATGACCCGCAAGTATACGGGATAGTTGTAGCCTTTTTCGATAAGTAAGAGTGTCAAACCCAACGAGGAGCTAAAGGTAGAACAAATACTCTCTCAAGTCCTATCGGCCACAGATATGACTCTACGCACGCTTGACGTTCGCTTTACCTAGAACAAGTATGAAACTAGAAGTACTTTGTAGGTGTGATAGGATAGGTTTGCAAGATAATAAAGAACACGTAAATATAAACTAGGGGCTGTTTCGATAAAGATGCAAGAAAGTAAATAAAGCGAGTGTGGAAAAGTGGTGGTAGGAGTTGTGAAAGTGTCCCTAAGAAATTGACCGCGTTACTAGACCGATAGCAAGTTTTATGTGGGAGAGGCATAAGTTAACATACTTTCTCTACTTGGATCATATGCACTTATGATTGGAACTCTAGCAAGCATCCGCAACTACTAAAGATTCATTAAGGTAAAACTCAACCATAGAATTAAAGCATCAAGTCCCCTTTTATCCCATACGCAACAATCCCCTTACTCGGGTTTGTGTTTCAGTCACTCACGCAACCCACTATAAGCGAATCATGAACGTATTGCAACACCCTACAGCGGGAATCCCTCACGCTTGCGCGACATGGAGGGCACAATAGGACAACAACATAACCACAAGAAAATTAAATCAATCATAGCAATTCATCAACCACCAATAGGACAACGAAAATCTACTCAGACATCATAGGATGACAACACATCATTGGTTAATAATATGAAGGATAAAGCATCATGTTCAAGTAGAGGGTACAGAGGGATGCGGGAGAGTGGACCGCTGTAGATAGAGGGGGGGGGGAGGTTATGGAGATGTTGGTGAAGATGACGGTGGTGTTGGTGAAGATCGCGGTGATGATGATGGCCCCCGGCGGCGTTCCGGCGCCACCGGAAACAAGGGGGAGAGAGCCCCCTTTCTTCTTCTTATTCCTTGACCTCCTCCCTAGATGGGAGAAGGGTTTCCCCTCTGGTCCTTGGCTCCCATGGTGTGGGAGGGGCGAGAGCCCCTCTGAGATTGGATCTATCTCTCTGTTTCTGCGTTCCCTGATTCTACCCCTTCACTGTTTCCTTTATATCTGGAGATCCGTAACTCTGATTGGGGTGAATCTTTCGCCCAGATTTTTCTTGTAAAATTAGCTTTCTTGCGGAAAAAGAAGGGCATCAACCGCCTTACGGGTGGCCCACGAGAGCCCAGGGCGCGCCCATCAGTAGGGGGCGCGCCCCCCTGTCTCGTGGCCACCTCGGAGACTGTTTCGCATTGATTCTTCCTCCAAAAAATCCCAAATATTCCAGAATAATTCTCCGTCCGTTTTTATCCCGTTTGGATTCCGTTTGATATTGGTTTTCTGCAAAACATAAAATATGCAACAAACAGGAACTGACACTGGGCACTGGATCAATATGTTATTCCCAAAAATAGTATAAAAACTTGCCAAAAATATATGAAAGTTGAAGAATATTGGCATGGAACAATCAAAAATTATAGATACGACGGAGACGTATCAGCATCCCCAAGCTTAATTCCTGCTCGTCCTCGAGTAGGTAAATGATAAAGAAGATAATTTTTGATGTGGAATGCTACC